CGCCGCGCTTAGGTACTGACACGCCTGGTTTATAGCAAATTTGAAGAATAAAATGGTAGTTTTCTAATAATTTGTCATAAGTGGGGACTTTTTAGTGCGTAAAAAAAACTTGAGAAGCACTTATTCATACTAATATAAATACGAAACTTTAGATGGATGGACGTTTGTTAGAGTTTGTAGCCTAAACGGCTGAACAGATCCCCATTTGGCTCAGGTTTAGAGCATAGTCTGGAAGAACACATAGGCTATTTTTATCCCGGAAATAGTTACGGCTCCCATGGGATTCAGTAATTTTGTATTTTAATGTTTACTAGATAATTCTGCAATGGTTCAACATATCTTACTGAAATTTGTCACAGATATAAAACAAAGTCTGGAGGACACCTGGGATAAGGTTCATCACCGAAAAAAGTCCGGTTCCCAAGGAACACGTAGTTTTTTTGTTATTTACATAGTTCGTCTGTTTTCTAATACCACGCGGATAAAGTCACGGGCAACAGCTAGTAATTATATATGTGTGAACTCAACCCGCAGTGCAACGTGCTTGACTATGGCTTAATTACCCTTAGTGTAGGCTCCGAGCCCCTCAGTGGGGATGTAGTTAGCTATATGTTCTTCCAGACTATGTTCTACATCTGTGGATATCCGTTCTGGATATTAGTAAGAAGTAAAATAAATGTGAAGTTTAGGTGAATTTTATTACTATTTAACGCAAAATCGTCTAGATTTAGATGATTTTGTTATGTACAAATGATTCTGAAAGAACACAGCTTACTATATATTTTTTCAACGCTGATAATGTCGCGGATGACATAAAAGAAAATTTGTCTTTAAATTAAAAGAAGCAATATAATAAGCGAACACGACTTATAACTAATCTTAATTTTTTTTATTCCTACGCATGAATAGTTTTAAAAAATTTAAATTTGTATTTACTTTTGAATGAAGTGTATTTACTTATACATCACTATTTTTTAATTTATTATGTACGATAATGTATAATATTAGTAAGATTGTGCATGTTTGTATGTGTACGTGTGCGTACGTACGTACATAATGCCTATGCGTACGTGCGTGCGTCTGTGTTTGCATGTTTTAGCGCATGTGCGTGCGTGCGTGCGTGCATGTGTTCGTGTGTGCGTGTACGTGTGTGTGTGTGTGCAGGTACCGGCGCGGAGTAGTTGAGCGGGTGCGCGTTGTTGGTGCAGGGCCAGAGCGCGTGCGTGCGCTGCGCCGCCTCCAGGCACCAGGCGGCCGCGTCGCGCCCCCCCACCGCCCACACGCGGGACCCGCTCCCCCCACAACCCACGATGCGACGTACACGTTCCGCTACCACACAAATAATTGTATTAATTACTTATAATAAGCTATCTACCTATACATATAATAAAATTGGACTGTCTGTTTGTAATATCAAAAGAAAAATTCCATATTTCAGGAAAATCTACTAATAATTTAAAAAAAAAACTAAACATGTCTAGATGTACTAACAGTTAGGATGCCTGACAGTGGTGATGGGCAGCTGGAACCTGAGGTCCCAGACGCAGATGGCGCCGCTGGAGGTGCCCACGGCCACGTAGCCCGCGCTGTTCGCGTACAGGCACGTGAACACGCCCTGCTTCAGGTCCCCCTGCAGCTTCCACGCATTACCTAACAACGTTATTCGTATTGAAACACTAGCTGTTCCCGTGTGACTTCATCCGCATTAAATTATGAAAATTTTATTTTGTTGTTCACATATTGGCTACATTATGGCAACCTCGCTTCCTTGATGTTGGCAGCAACTTATGGTCTCTTTCTCACATTTTATTAAAAAAAGAATTATTCAAAAATATGGTGTAATTGCTGACATCTTAGGCAACAAAGAAGTGTGTGTTTACGCTTTATTATAATAGTATAGAGTGTAGATTGTTTTTTTTTAAAGAAATAGCTATACTATATTTGTTAAAATATTTCGGGTAATTGAAATCTTACTTCTTACTAATATTGTAAATACGAAAGATGTGATGGATGGATATTAGTTTGTAGTCTAAACTGATGAATGGATCTCGATATTTGGCATAGATGTAGAAGTAATATGAAGGAACATATATTTACTATTGTTTTTTTATTCCGCACGAACGGAATCACGGGCGAAAGCTAGATATAAATAATGGATATACCATAACATTACTAAAAACCAAAGTATTTTGTAATTTGTAATCGGCGTATATAATAGTCGATTTTTTTACACAAATACATGTGTACCCATAATGCTCAAGTATTATTAATGTTATAGTATAGTGTGTAATACCTGGTGCCCTGAGGTCCCATCCGACGACGGTGGCATTGAGAGTGGCATAGGATATGACACCGGCGTGCACCC